AGTGATTTCTATTAGTAAACCCAACACATATTCAGCCTTCCAGATAAGTCTGGGTCTTTCTTGAGCCATGAGGTGAGGCTAAGTGCCTCCTCGGAGCCCCAAATGCCCCACTTTGCTGTCCATGCCTTCTTATCTTTGTGTTTCCAGCACCAGTGCTTGGCTCACAGCAGGTGCATAGTCAATGCTTAGTGAACTGAAGCTTCCTCTATCAAGAACCAGGAGGCTCTGAAATCTAGTCTGAGGGGCATCCTACCTTATGCTTGATCTGAAAAGTCCAAAGAAAAATTGCATCTGGATTTATATTGGATACTAGATGAATCCAGAGCTGTTAGCTTTTCCACATGTTAACCACCCTAGACAGCAGAATTGAAGAATCTACCTAGTCCCCAGGAAACAGATGCTAAAGAACAAGGGAAACTGCTTATCTCAAGATGTACCATCTGATGGGTCCCATACTTGATGAACGTGTCCTGCCAGGCCTACAGCAAGGCCTGCAATTGACAAGAGCTTTGGACTCAGGGGGACCCCAGTTGGAAGGTATGCAACCTTTGGCAAGTTATTCAGCCAAACTGTCTGAACCTCAATTTCTTCATCTACAAAGTGAAGATAATAAAATCAATCATACAGGACTCTTGGAGGTCAGAGACTATATATGTAAAATGCTTAACACAGGGTACGCGTACAGGAAGCACTTCATAATCCTCAATGACTGTCGCCATAGTGATCCTCTTGGTTAATACATTCTACCATAATTATGTTGCTTTACCTAATTTCCCTTCAGCCTAAGCACATTCAGATGTAATCAGCCTCAAACACACTTCTCTACTTCTTTCTCCTGAGGTATTCCATTTTACATGCTGATGTGATTAATCCTTTTTCTGTAGAAGATCCAGCTAAGTCCACTTTGGGGACTATACGGAGGAGGCACCAAAACCACTTTTTCAGTGGTTCTCAAGTCTAGATGACAATTTGAATCACCTGGAGAGTTAAAACAAAACAGCAACAAAAGCAAAGAAACCTAAAAAGGTCTAGATTCCTCAACCAGAAATTCTGATTTATCAAGGTTCTTAAAGCTCCCCGGGTGAGTGTAATGTGCTGCTGAGACCTCTTGATCAATGTGAGAAAGATTAGTACTTCTATTACCTTGGGGAGAAAAGGAAAGCTGTTGCTTTTACTTTTCTATAATCTCCATCATGGTGTGGGAGGGGAGAAGACTAAAGATTATAGTTGGAATATTCCACTTATAATGTGAAAAAGACAGTCTCATTATCAACCTGAAAGATGGCTGGTGGTGCTAATCCTGGCTAATATAAGGGGAAGAGGGGCGAACAGAGACACAGTAGGACATGGAAGGAGCGCATCTGGAAATACCTGTGAAGGAGTCAGGTTAAAATGTGGTGTCTAGCCTGGCCAGCTTGTGTGCACCTGTGGCTGCTGATGTCAGGTACACGCACTTTGATCCGGAGCAAATGAAATGATCTCGGCTTTGGCATTACATTTAGTAATAGCTAAGTGCCAAAGATAGCTGGTGATGGCCGGTAGTATGTTCAGAAATAAACTACATCTGAAAAATATAACTATTCCTTTCTATTGTGAAAGTAATATACAAGAGAAAATTGGGAAAACAGAAAAACAATGAACTCTCTACGTATAAACTAATAATAGTAGTCAAGATTTATATAGACTTATGAGGTGCTAGACATAGCTCTAAGCCCTTTATCAAATAAATTCATTTACTTCTGACTTCAGTTCAAAGAGGTAGATAATTATTTCTAACTCCATTTTACAGATAGGAAGGAGGGCCTGGAGCTGTTAAGTGACTTGACCAAGGGTGCACAGCTGGTAAGGGCAAAGCCAAAACTGAACTTAACAGAGTATGGGCAGCCTTAGAGATATAGTTCATATGGTCAATACTCAAGGATACAATGCCAGTTGTAAAGTCAAAAAAGCGAATGTTGTCTGTCATTCACTCATTCATTTATATCATATTTAGTGAAAGTATCTATATTTAGCATACCACTGGCCCCTCAATTATCAAGATTATAAATAGTAATCACAGGGTACCTGTTCATTCATACAGCATTCAGAATAATAGATATATAAGCAACATAAACTAATAAGATTAAAAATGTTATAACTATTTTCTGATGACAAAATCCAAAATCAATATTTCAAAACTTATGGAATGTCATACACTTATGAAATTGAATATTTGGCATTATACTATAGACTTTTGACAATTAATAAACATACCTTGAACAATAATTTCATGAGTTTGGCTTGATAGAAATAAGTTTAACATAACAGTAGTATATTCAACTCAGAAATTTCATGTTTGTTGAATGACTGTATGGATAGATAGTTGGAAGAATAGATGAGTAAACTGATAGATAAGGATGCTTGGCAATGCTCTAAGTGCTTAAAAATTGCATTGGTATGGGCTGGGGACATAGTTCAGCAGCAGAGCATTTGTCTACCGTGTGCCAGGCCCTGGGTTCCATCCCAGCACCACCATACAACACACACTCAAAAAATTAAATAAATTTCATCTTTTAAAAAATTAGTGTAGAAAATTGTGTGTTCTTTAATTTTAAATTAATAAAAATTCTATATATTAATGATGCACAACATAATGTTTTGGTATGTTTGTATACACTGTGGAATGGCTAAATCAAGCAATTTAGCATATGCATTACCTCACATAGTTACACACCCCCTCCTCTCCACCCTGTGGTAAGAACACTTAAAATACTGTCTTAGCAATTTTCAATTGCAACATATTAACTGTAGTCATCATGGTGTATACAAATTTTGATTTCTACCCTTTCCATGTACTAAATAAATACCTTTAAGCAAGTCATTTTGGTGCCAGTTTCTTCATCTGATTGTTACAATGATTAAATGAGGTAAAATTACTTAGGATCCTACCTGAGATATGTTAAATATCATATTTTAAATTATCTTTAAATTGAAGTAACATAGGAAAAGAAGAAATATTAAAATGATACAAAAAGCTATACAATACAAAAATAAATCTCTTTCCACTGTATTTTCTTCTATTGTTCCTATTATTAGAGCTCTCTAAGCAAAAGTAAAATTTGTGCTGTTCATTAAGAAGAGAGGTTTGTAAACCAGTAGACAACATACTTTGAGTCAGAACCAAGCGATATAACACAAGTAATCTGGCTAAACTCCAGTATGAGTGATTAACATTATCCAACTTCAAATAATTTTTATTATTAGCCAACACTTGTTCATCCCCAATAATATGCACGTTGCATATAAGGCACAGAATGAGCTAGGCCTCCCTTGGCATGCTTACAGGCTGCACATACTTTCCACTGAGGGTGCCCCTTTCTTCCGGACTGCTATGCCATAGCATTTCAACTCCCACTACTTTCAACCGGGGCATCTGCAGACCTCGAAGGCTAAGTGATTCCAAAACCCCAGAGATAAAAATACGAATACCTGTAGAATTCCAGAAAATGAACGATGTAATGTACTCTGTAAACAATTATTAATAGTTATGGTGTATCTGAGGCAATTTACTCCTTTTTAACTGTGAGGCTGATATTAACACACATATTCTTCATTATTTCCCATCAAACTTTGTTGAGAAGCAGAAGGGAGATGGCTGTTCTGAAATTTAGTCACCTAATGTGTACAAATGTGAGCCAGGACAGATGATCGACAACAATTCACATTTGAATCTCAGTCACTGAGTCCAGTCCTGAGTCCTTCAAGTGTCCCCAGGCCCTCTGCCTATTTTGCCTTCCGCCCTGTGGAAGGAAGGGGTGAGAGAGCTGGATACAATTTAAACCCTCTTCTTAAGTGTGTGAATGAATGTTAAATATGCTAAACACCTCAGTCTTCCAACCTAATTAGAACGCGTAGAAAAGAGGCATTTGTAGGACATTTAAAACTTCCAGCATAATAACCCATCTGAAGTCCAACAGGCTGATGCGCACGCCCCCCGCCCTCGGGGCGCGCAAGTGCGCAACTCAGCAGCAGGCAACTCCCCAGCGTCCTGCCCAGTGCAGAGCCTTGAGCCGTGGGCGATTCCGGACCTGCCTGGGATTATAAATCCCGACTGATAAGGACTAACATCTTTCAAGTCTCCCAAACCCAGAAAAAAAAAAAAAAAAACTTTCTCGTCACAATAGTAGGATTTTGTTACGATATGCAAAAGTAAAGGTCGAACGAAGCCTGGGAAATTTCGATAATATGGGTGTGTGTGTGTGTGGGGGGGTGGGTAGTGGTAGAGACCGTGAATGCCGCTCCCAACTAGTTGGGTTCCAATCCTAGAACTGCGATTTGAGCACCTACTGTGTGCCAAACGCTCGGATGCGGCGGCGAACAAGATTGTCGAGGTCACCTCTTTTATTACCAGTTCTTTTATTACCAGGTCAAGTTGCTAAGTCTCGTCTTCTTCACCTCTAAGGAGCACTTGCCTCAGGGAACTGTAAGGATTTCGGGTCTTGCTTTAAGATGCAAACAATTAACAGGTTGTTGGGGATTCAAGAACTATTAGCTCTTCTTTCACCCAATCTAATAACTCGAAGGAGAAAGACAGGTGCCGCAGCTAAAAATGATTCTTTGAGTAGTTGTTTATACAAGCGCTGGACTCTGTAAAGAAACCTGGTGGGAGCCCTGAATGCGATGGTTCGTAATCTACCATATCGCAGCAAAGTGAGTCCGGAACTGGCGAGCGCTCGCAGAGAACTCCGGAGGGACTTCTGGCCAGGGTTTCCCGCCCGGGTTCTCAAGGCGGCGTGATTAGCATTCGCCCCACCCCCACCATTTGCCGACTCACGATTGGCCAGTTTTCTTCGGCTGCCGGCCCAGGGAGGGGCCAGAGGGCGCCTAGGGAGAGGCCGAGCCCGCGGGGCAGTGGGAGGGGACACGCGGAGAGCTTGGCCGGGTGGCCCACCACTCGAGCCCAGGCTTGAGGGGGCGGGGCCGGGGCGGGGCGTCCCGGCGGGCATTAGAGGCAGGTGACCCGGGCAGGGAGGGAGAGGGCAGTCAGCCCGCGGCCGTGTCCCCGCTGCCGTCTGCGCTGCTCGGTGCCCACCGAAGGTGGGCGGCAGGGTGCGAGAGCGCGGGGGAGGAGCCGAACAACCCGTTGCTTCCCGATAGCACAGCCACCGCCCCCAGGAGTTCGCTGGAGCGCGGAGCCCCCTGCAGGGGAGGAGGCGAGCGGCGGGCGGGACGCGGCGGCGAGCGCGCACCATGCAGTCCCGGCCGGGCCAGCGCCGGCTGCTAGCCGTGCTGTGAGGCGGCCGGGTCTCCCGGCCACCGCATTCCGCCTTCCTCCCTCCCAGGTGCTGCCAGGCGCTCTCGCCTTTGCTCCGGCACTCGGACCCGGGTGGAACACACGGCCTGACTCTGCCCCACTCCGCCTGGAACATGACGGGGGGCCCGGAGGAAGAGAAGGCGAGTGACAGGCCTGCGCCGACCCTGTTCGGGGGGCGGCCAGCTCTCTGAGGCGCCCCCACCTGCTACCATGTGTCGCCGCCACGGTTACCCAGCCTGTCGCTAAACTTTCCCGGCCTCGGCCCGACTCGGAGTTGCGTTTCAGGAGCCGAGTATCCCAGGGACAGAAGACCCAGGCTGGCTGCAGACATCTGCCCCTCTCGGCGAGATCCTTAGAGGTGAGAGCCCGCGCCTTCTCTTTTGCCCTGTTCTCCCGGTTTCTCTGCCCCTTTCCGGGGGCTGAGCGCTCTGACCCCGAGGCACAGCCTGGAGGGCCCGGCCAGGAAAAGGAGGGTGGTGAGAGTCAGTACTTTGGTTCGAGGAGGTTGAGGGGAGGAAAAGAGAGTAGTTAAGTTAGAGATTGGAGACTGCTTTGGGTACGGAGCCGTTGGGACGCCCCTCCAAGAGGAGAGGTTGCAATTTTTCTCCCCCCCGCCCCTTCTCTTTTAAAAGAGCCCCTTCCCTGGAATTGGAGCCCTAACCGTCCCTCTCCAGCCCTATCCTGCGAAGAGCTGAGTGCTGGCAGCGGAGGCAGCGCGTTCCCGAAGCAGTTTATCTTTGGACGGATTTCTTTAAGAGAAAAAGAAACCAACAGGTTGCCAACCCCGGCGTCACAGGGGAGACTCCGGAGAGGGAAGCCCCAGCCCCGGTTTCCTCTGCCTGCCTTGGCCCCTCGCGGGCTGCGGGAGGAGAGGAGAGGGGAGGGAGGGGGCGATGGCTCGGCCTGACCCGTGCGCGCCGCCCTCGCTCCTGCTGTTGCTTCTGGCGCAGCTGGCGGGCCGGGCGGCGGCCGCCTCCAAAGCCCCGGTGTGCCAGGAAATCACGGTACCCATGTGCCGCGGCATCGGCTACAACCTGACGCACATGCCCAACCAGTTCAACCACGACACGCAGGACGAGGCGGGCCTGGAGGTGCACCAGTTCTGGCCACTGGTGGAGATCCACTGCTCGCCGGACTTGCGCTTCTTCCTGTGCTCCATGTACACGCCCATCTGCCTGCCGGACTACCATAAACCGCTGCCGCCCTGCCGCTCCGTGTGCGAGCGCGCCAAGGCCGGCTGCTCGCCTCTCATGCGCCAGTATGGCTTCGCCTGGCCAGAGCGCATGAGCTGTGACCGTCTCCCTGTGCTGGGCCGCGACGCCGAGGTCCTGTGCATGGATTACAACCGCAGTGAGGCCACCACGACGCCCCCCAAATCCTTCCCAGCCAAGCCCACCCTCCCAGGCCCGCCAGGGGCGCCGTCCTCCGGGAGCGAGTGCACAGCAGGGGGCCCATCTGTGTGCACGTGCCGCGAGCCCTTCGTGCCCATCCTGAAGGAGTCGCACCCACTCTACAACAAGGTGCGAACGGGACAGGTGCCCAACTGTGCGGTGCCCTGCTACCAGCCGTCCTTCAGCCCAGACGAGCGCACGTTCGCCACCTTCTGGATTGGTCTCTGGTCAGTGCTTTGCTTCATCTCCACTTCCACGACGGTGGCCACTTTCCTCATTGACATGGAACGCTTCCGCTACCCGGAGCGCCCAATTATCTTTCTGTCAGCCTGCTACCTGTGCGTGTCGCTGGGATTCCTGGTGCGCCTGGTTGTGGGCCATGCCAGTGTGGCCTGCAGCCGGGAGCACAACCATATCCACTATGAGACGACAGGCCCTGCGCTGTGCACCGTCGTATTCCTGCTAGTCTACTTCTTTGGCATGGCCAGTTCCATCTGGTGGGTCATCCTGTCGCTCACCTGGTTCTTGGCTGCTGGCATGAAATGGGGCAATGAGGCCATTGCGGGTTATGCACAGTACTTCCACCTAGCAGCGTGGCTTATTCCCAGCGTTAAGTCCATTACGGCGCTGGCTCTGAGCTCGGTGGACGGGGACCCGGTAGCCGGCATATGCTACGTGGGCAACCAGAACCTGAACTCCCTTCGCGGCTTTGTCCTGGGCCCACTGGTGCTCTACCTCCTGGTGGGCACGCTCTTCCTCCTAGCGGGCTTCGTGTCGCTTTTCCGCATCCGCAGCGTCATTAAGCAGGGCGGCACCAAGACGGACAAGCTGGAGAAGCTTATGATCCGCATTGGCATCTTCACGTTGCTCTACACGGTGCCCGCCAGCATCGTGGTGGCCTGCTACCTGTATGAGCAGCACTATCGCGAGAGCTGGGAGGCGGCTCTCACCTGCGCTTGCCCGGGCCCCGACGCCGGCCAGCCGCGCGCCAAGCCCGAGTACTGGGTGCTCATGCTCAAGTATTTCATGTGCTTGGTGGTGGGCATCACGTCGGGCGTCTGGATCTGGTCCGGCAAGACAGTGGAGTCTTGGCGGCGCTTCACCAGCCGCTGCTGCTGCCGCCCGCGGCGGGGCCACAAGAGCGGGGGCGCTATGGCCGCCGGGGACTACGCCGAGGCGAGCGCTGCGCTCACTGGCAGGACCGGGCCTCCGGGCCCCTCTGCCGCCTACCACAAGCAGGTGTCCCTGTCGCACGTATAGGAGGAGGCCTCGGCCGAGGGACCCGTGCTGGGAGTTGAGGGAGGGGGTTGTTTTGTTTCGTAGCTTGAGAAGGTCACTTCCGTTTACCTTCATGGTGCTGATGCCCCCTCCCAGGACAAATTGGAGAGAGGGAAAAGGGGCAGTTTCCAGGGAGCATCTGTCCCAGTTCTTAAAGGGGCTCTGCTCACGTGTATACTGATTTGCGTTTCTTACTGCCGCCTTTAGAGGAACCCTCTTTTTAATTTATATGTATTGTTCTTAATTTTTAACTGTTGCATTTTGGCAACAAAATTTACCTTTGCTTTGGGGGCTTTACAATCCTAAAGTTGGCATTGTAATGAGGTTCCATTTGGTTCAGGTTTCTTTGAACTGTGTGGTCTAAATTGGGAAAATGTATTTCCTATACGTGTGTCTTTAAAAAAAAATGTGAACAGTGAAAGTTTGGGTTGCTGTGACTGGAAAGGAGTGGAGTGTACTTTTTCAACTAATTTCTCCTTCCACTGCTTTAAAGTGTCCAAGCTGCTTTAGAACTGCTGCACGTCCTGGAGTACAGCCCCAAGTCCTCCCAAGGAGGGGAACATAATGTGCTAGGGCCTCTCCAGGTTGACAGGTTTAGGTGAGGGAGTGCCTAGGGATTTTGTGTGCATCCTTAACCTTGTCAGTTGAGCTTTGGGTTCTTTGCAGCATTCATTTTCATTCCTAACAGAACCAGTGTCCTGTCCAAGTTAGAAGTAGCAGCATAGAATGTCCGCCATAAACATTTGCAATAATAAGAGCCTAAGAGATGGTGATTGGTTGAGCGTGAATTCTAGACTGGTGAGATGGTAAGCTTTGTGCCAGAGAGGGGGTGGGTGGTTCTTAATAAGCTTCTGTGATCCCTTATTATTTTAAAGGAACTTGTGTTACAATTTTGGTGAAAGTACACCCACTCTCTTCTTCTGGAAATACTTAGGGATTGTTGCTAAAGAGGGCTCCCTTTTAAATTAAAGGACTAAAACGGATATGCTTCCAGTAATTAAAGTAAATTTCCAGCTTCTCTTATCTGCTCCCTCACCCTGCCTCCTTTATCATGTTAAACAGTCTTTTTGCTTTTCTTATTCCTCCTCTCCTGGAGAGCTGTGATTAGAAACCACACCCACCCTCCAGTGAAGTGCTTGAACTGGGGGAGGGAGGCTGGCTACCTGTGAACAAACATTGGCCCCAAGGAGGGAAAACAAGTGTCCCTGGACTCAAGGCTAGTTTTTGTCCCCAAAGCAGCAATACAGTGCTCTCTGCAGTCTCTGAAAACAAATGAGACCCACAACATCCTTGCATAAGCTTTTAAATATGATTAGTGGAATGCCATTGCAAGAAGAAGCCCTGCTCCCCACTCCACTTCCCACCCCACCTTAATTTTCCTTTTCCTTTTCTGAGAAAAAGAAAGGCCTATAACACACTTGCTGTTACTAGGTTTGCTTTCCTAATGTTTAACCATTCTTTCATATATGAAAGCCTATATCTTGGTGAATACACACACACACACAAACACACACACACACACACACAAACACACACACACTTCTTTGCCTTCGGAAGTTATGTTCTCCTAATCTGTTTAACCATTCATTCATGAAGAGTGTGAGGCCACCACTGGGAAAGGGGTGACAGTGCATCAGCCAGAAAATACCAGTGACCAGGACTGAGCGGAGAAGAAATTTAATGGCCAAAGCAATTAAAGATTGAGAAAGCTTCCCTAGGGAAACAACTGGAATCTAGGCATTTGAGCTTCATTTGAAGCAAAGTTAGAAAAATTTAAGCCTACATCAGTTTTCCTTCACTAGTGTTGAGTAGACAAATACATAGTTGCCACAGGGAATCAAAATAGTTGGTGGAGAGAAGTCTAGTACCATAGCTCCAAAGCTGATCACATTAATAAAATCGTACTGCTCTTGCCCAGCTCATTCTCTGAATCAAAATTAAAAATCCCGGAGATTTGACAGAACCGTGTATACATAGCTACAGAACTTTGCGCATATCTTATTCCTCTATTTATTCAGAAGCCTCTTCCTAGAACCTTGCAATGGATCTCCTGCCTGGCCACCAGTTCCTCTCCTTTTTTCAAATGAGATCACCTTGACCTCTTCCCTCATTTAACATGTCTTCCCAGAATCTGCTGCCTTCAGATTTGGGCTATCTCCCTTCCTTTGAATCCAGAAATGATGCACTAAATCTAAAAGTTGTGGGACGAAGTGAGTGGATTCACACTTTTTTTTTTTATTGTTGCAACATCCCAAACCTAAAAACAATCAATTTAACCTGCAAAATTAGATAGTTAAAACACAGATGCTAAGCCAAGGGAGGCAAGCAAGATAGATTAGGCTTTCTGAGATCTAGTTTCAGAAGCACCTTTTATTCTCACCCCTGCTCTCCTTTCTTCCCTCATTCACTAAAAGAGACAAAGATAATACCCCCCACCCCACCCCCTTTTAGTAATCAGCCAACCCACCTAGGGAGAATACTGCATCTATTTATAGCCACTCCTTATTTCTACCCACATACTTATTTTTCCCTGTTTTGCATTTTTGTTATAAAAACAAATCATACTCATGAAAACAGTTATAAAATGAAAGGCTATGGGGTAGGTAGTTCAGCAACTTCTTCACAGCCACCCTTGTGAGGTTGGGATGTAGGGGCCCTGTTTCTATCTCAGATCCAGTTTCTGGACTGTCCCTTTCACTGTCCAGTTTTAAGCAGTGTCTCACTTCACAGGTTAGTTGGGGAGGATCTAGGTAGAAAATTGCCTGCAGGAACTAATGGGACCTCAGTGGCCAGATTGTGGGAAGTTTTTAAAATTTATATTATTTCCCTCCTCGAATTTTGAAGTTGCTAAATTGGCTGGAAATCATTTTTCTTGGTGCCTTATTGGTTTATTCACACAAACCTTTTGTCAAGTTTCCATGTGACTATTGCCGATGACCAGGTCCTATGTGTATGTGTTGTGTGTAATTGTGTGCACGAACAAGCTTAAATAATATGCCGACAGCACTGTTTCAAAGTTGGTATTCATTAGGCAGTTCCCTCCTGGGCCAGGGCTGCACTAATCTTGACACGGGCTGCCAGGAGAAAACCTCATGGATCACACACCGAACCTTAATAACAGCATCGGTGACCTGCACTCTCTGGTACAGAATGGGAACCCCAGAGCTAGGAAGCGCAGTTGTATATTTTAATGAACTGCTACCCCTGCTAAAGAAGCTTCTTTCACTTTTGTGCTCTACAGAAAGACCAAGGGGGGTAGGAGGGACAAAGCTTTGAATAACTGCTTTCTAACACCGAATGTGGCAAACAGGATGGAGCACATCACAAATCTAGGCAGGTGTGAGGTACAGGGACTAAGAATCCCTGCTCCCTCTGCATGCCCTTTTTTGTCTCCAAAGTCTAATCAAGTGATTCTGGGGAAGAAATATGCCTGGGTTGGGGAGGGTGGTTCTGAAAGAAAAAAACTACCAAGACATTAAAGAAGGGTGAAGGATAGGCAGGATGTAAGTTAACCTGACTCAAAACTCAGAAGCTTCTAGCAGCCTGATGACAATTACAGGATTTATTTCAGCCAGCATGTCTGTCCATCTGTGGCACATCTTTTAAAGACAATATTACTTCATGTTTTTACAAACTGTATGTACAGTATGTATGTCTTGTGGGTGTGTATATACATAATATATATTATATATATGAGAGATTTAGTGATTTTTGATACGGGTTTGGTGCAGGTGAATTTCTTACTGAGCCAAATGAGGCACATACCGAGTCAGTAGTTGGAGTCCAGGGCATTCAGTACTTTTTATGACTTCCTAAGTGTGTAGTGCCTACCCCATGCAGTATAGTCACTGTCGTTGTCAAATCCAGAACTCGCATCAGAGCCAGCGATATTTTATTTGTAGACAATCAATTTTAATCTATAAATTATTACTGACAAATGATTATAATTCTGAATCCATAACACTAATAAAAAGAAACCCAGAGCATCATAAAGAGGTTTTGTTTTGTTCCTGGAAGTAGAGCAGCAATAGTACATGGTTATGTTAGTCTCAAGATACTTAACTTGCTGACCTTATTTCAGAAAAAATAATTTGTATGAATTCTATTTGTGGGAAGATAAAATAATGGTTTGAGATTTTTATCAAATATGGAGATTAGTTATTTATGAAAACAAAGAAATGTCTATTTTTGTTTCTTTGTTCCCAATTAATGTAGATAACTTTTAAATGCATTAAAGCAATGGTAAAGAAAATAAACAGATGCCCTTGAAGTCTCTTTCTCATTTATGGAGAGACTCTCTGCTTTCTAAGATGGTCTGAGGAGTGGATTCTAACTTTGTAATCTGGTTTTTCAGATGTTCTTAAAATATAAACATCAAAGTCTAATAAGTAAAAATTGAAGCAAATTCCAGTCACCAGAAGCAGAATGAATTAAAGCATGTTTTACTGGAATATACTTTGTTTCTCCTGCCCATCCTGTGATTGTTCAATTATTCATTTGAAGAAATGAAGGGAGCTCCATGGAAAAACAGAGATATTGCCTGTGTTCTGTTTTATAAACACTCTGTCTACACACTGAACCTATTTGGAGAGAGATGATGCAATACTGTATGTATTTGGTTAGGGGACGACTCCCAAAATTGCTTATCATTCAGTAATTGGATTCACTACTAGGTATTGAGCTCTAAATTCATCAGGGAGCCTGGAGGAGAAGATAGAAATTGATTTAGCGTCCATACTTACCTGTCACCTAAGCACAGATGTTTAGTGAGCCTGAATACTATCGCCAGTGCATCTTCTACTGATTGCTGCTTTGGCAAAAAGGAAAATTAGCCACCGATGTTCCAAATACCACTTCATTTTAATGCCTGGTATGTGAGTGTTCTCTAGCAATGTTTGGAGGCAATGTGAGAAAATGTGTGGGAAAACAAAGGTAATTAAGGGTTTAAAATGTCAAGGGAGACAACAAATCCATTTAGAGGTGGGAATAACAACATGAAAGTATTTAATTCAGTGTCAATGGACATTGAGTGCTATGGACTTAGATTGGTACATAAGTTAGGACAGGGGGGTTTCGGGGAGGGATATAACAGGTACGCATGATGCTGACAGAAAAGCAGTTACAGGTACTTAGGTGTACAGGACTAGCTGGCTCATCTCTCCCTTGCTTTCTCCTGGCTCATTTTTAGCCAACTGAAAAGGGAGAGAGGGGTACTCACAAGCTGGAGCAGAGACTTTAGAAAAAGTTGGAGAAGAGGTGAGCCCAGGATAATATCATAATGCTTCTATTAGTGATTTATTTACAGAGCTCTTCAGTTTGACGATGGAAACAGGGTTGAAAGGCAGAATGGTCATGAGCCTAGGCTGGGGAGTCAGACAACTGAAGATTCAAATCCCAGCTCCACTACTAATGGGTTGTGATTCTGAATTTTATCTCATAGTATTTTTTTCTCATCTGTGAAAAGGGGGAAAGAGTGGCAATTGTATCTTAGGGTTCAGAAGACTTAAAGGATTAAACCAGGTTAAAGCAAGGTTAAGGTAGTAAAGCTAGGAGGCAGAAGATGTTCAGGCATGGAATGGAAAGGGAGTTGAGAGGATGTTTTCAAATTTGAGTCTGCATAAGAATCACTTGCGGTTCCTGTGAAAAATGTTAATTCCCAAGCCTCAGCCCCAGGAATTGAGATTTAGTAGCTCTGGGACCAAAGAAGCTCCCCCTTCCCCCCAAAAAAAACTTTTAATTTTGGAATTTTTTGCAAATCTAAAGTTATCCAAGATTTTAAAAAGTTGCAAACGTTACTCATCAGCATCATATATTTTTACAGGATGTTATAGTTGTAACACTTGTTACAACTAAGAAGTCAGTGTTGGCACATTACAGTGACCTCCAGGCATCAGATTTTCTACCAATGTTCCTATCTGTGCAGAACCCAATCCAGGATACCACTGCATTTATTGAAGATTCATGTTTCACAGGCACTTTTGGCTGATGAGGCAGGTGGTTTGCAGATCAAATCTTGAGAAGACCTGGGACACTAAAAGGACTGAACAAAATCAAATCGCCCCATCCCCTAGCTGAGGAGTTGAATGCAATTTTAAAGCAGAAGGGGGTGGAGTTTTGGAAATGGAATCCTCTCCATTAGTTCCCTTAAAAACAAGATGTCTAATGCCAGTTGAAATACCAGATTTTGGAAGGTGGCAGATACTACACCTAGTCTTCAGTCTAGATCAAAGATATATGCTTAAGGATGTGAGCAGCTCAGGGGAATTGCTAAGAACGAGTTAGAGATAGCTGCTTTGGGGAAAACAGGACTCAGGTGAACAAAGAGACTAGGGGGCATGTATGCCATATAAAAGCTTTATTTTCTTGAACCTGGTGCTAATACTTTGGAAGTCACAGTAAACAATATCAAGCATTGCCAGGTTGGAGGCTAGCTGAAGGTCACAGGGTGAAGCTAGAATGGACTGCTTGTGGGAGGGTCCCAAAGGGCTGAAGCAGCAGGTGAGTGAACACCTTTAGAGGAATCAGCTCTCACACTGAGCTACACACAAGAGACACCATCTTGGGATTGCAGGTAAAGGATTGCATTGAGAAGATGAAGCAGTAGATTGTAAGACAAATTTCTGTGTCCTTTGAGGTATTTACAGAAGATACTACTTATATCTTACTAAGGACCTTAGGGTCTGGGACTATCACACCAAATCTTCCTAATCTCATTGAAATTGCTTAGTCCTTAAAAAACAGTTAAAATAACCACCCATCCTTTTACCCCACTGGATTCCAGATTCCTCTTAATTTCTGATTTCACTTTCCTGAGGTGCAGGAAGAACAAATAAAGCACAAACTGGTATTCTTAAACTTTATCTCACGGCTAAGGATGCATTTTCCACTTGCCAAACCCATATAGAATAGTTCAGTGAAAACTGCCTTAGAAACCAAATGTATTGCCCCTTGTACTAGGGAAAGGAGCCTTACTGAAGAGCTCCTGGATCTTTTGTATTGTTTGCTGGCAGTGTTAGGCCTTCAAGGTTAAGTGTCTGGCTGTTAGAATTATGATGATCTAATGATAGACTGCTTGACAATCTACAGATTTTGCATGCAAACAAGCAGTAACTTGGGTTATTTTTCTGCCAGCTGTTAAGTACTTTTCCAAGTAGTACTATTCTCAAGAATGGGTGAGGAAACAATTTACTGTCATCTTAAACATGGTTAAAGAGAAGATTTTAGCTTGCTTGTGTGCAAACTAGTTTCCAATAAGACTAAATTGTTTTCTAGTTAATATATTTTTTTAAGATTTCCTTTTTAGTTGTAGATGGACACAATACCAATCTTTGTTTTTTTTAATGTGGTACTGAGGATCAAACCCAGTGCCTCACACACGCTGAGCCACAACCCCAGCCCCATATATCTGCTTTTTTTAAACCAAAAAAATACTGCATTTAGAGCTATAGGAAACTAAACCAAGAAGTCAAACTGATATAAAATCAGGATTCAATGCTATTGGGTTTCAGTAATATATGGGCATATTGGGAGGTAAATAGGAAATATGAAAATAAAAAGCTTGGATGGAATCTGATATGTGAAAAAAAAATTTTAAATATATTTTTAGTTGTCCATAGACCTTTATTTATATGCAGTGCTGAGACTTGAACCCAGTGCCTCACACATGCTGGGCAAGCGCTCTACTGCTGAGCTACAATTACAGCTCTGATTTGTGAAATTTTTTAACCAGAAATACCTAGACTCAAGTTGTGGTGTCAGGATGAACCACATAAAATTACTCACAGGCAATTAGTTTTTGACCTGCAAAAATGGCAGTTTCACTGGGTTTAAATATGTATTTCAAATTTGTTTTTTCCTTGTCATGAAAGTTCACAATACACCAATTAAAATTTGAGGTCTATATTACAATCTTAAAAATGAAGCCAAAAAAACCCACCCCAAACCCCCAAATGAAAATGAAGTTGAATCCAGGTAGATATTTCTTTTATCTTTCCTAGGTATAGAATCCTAAGAAAACTGCAGTTACCACCTTACTAGCAATTTGGTTTCTATGCCTCAAAACAATGGCTGCCCTGCCTTCTAGAGGTAAGGCCAATTGGAGGATCAACTTTTAGTGAAACTACTTATTCTGCCAGTTGGTTCTTAAGTCAGACTCATGTCCACTGTACCTCTACCAAATCTTTTATCTTATGTGTCAGCATTTCTGCTTAGTGAGTGATGTTACAGGATGTAAATTATACTAGTTTATGATAGGTGTTTTTCCTTTCTAAATTAAATCAGATCATTTATCCTAATCAGCAATGTATCAAGAACAAAGTGATCATTTAAAGACTCAACCTTAGGTACCAAAAGTACCTCATGTTCTAAATCTACATTATGCCTTTCTTTTCTCTTGGCATGTGTTCCCTAATTTTTTCTTTTAATCTGCTTTTCCTTCTCAGGGAGAATAACAACTATTCAAAGATGCCATCTAATGCACTATCCCACTAACTACTGTGGCCAGTGATTTTTAAGCATAATAAACTGCTTTCAAGTGGAAGAGAACCTAAGCACAATAAATGAATTGCTATACCTTCAGCAGAGGCATAGGTCATATCAGTTTCAATCGTCAGTTTAAAAGCCTATTAGGACAGATGTAAACATTTAAGATCTGGAAAGATGTGATACTGTGAGAACAGAGAAGTGTTACAAACACAGTGACCATATTTTAATTAAAATAGAGTTTTATTAGCTTTTCTTTTAATATAAACATGAGAAATAAAAACCACATAAGTTGTAGCATTCTTTTCAAAATAAAACTGCAATCAATACTTGAATCTCCAAGCTCTGAACTCCATAAACAATTTTTTTTTCTTGAGGTGGTAGATTGTAATATTTCAAATACCATTATTTATCACTTATGTCTGTCCTTTAAAAATGATGGAACCTGCAGCACTCAGTATAACGTGAAGCATTGCTATATTGAGAAAGAGTATTCCTGGCTCATAAGTGCAAGATTCCTAGGATTACTTTTAAGTAGAGAAATGGATTTCACATAGTTTAGAACACTAATCGTTTTATATTTCAAATTTAGGTGACATTGTTATCAACCTCTTATATTTACTCCTTGCCTGAAGTAAGGGTTCCTAAGGTTCGTGTAAGGTCTCTCTTATATATAGCAGGACTTGAAATGAGATACCTACAACCAGGTTAACACTTAGGATTAAAAATAAAAATGAATAAGAACTTTCATATCACCTGCTATTAGGGTCCAATTTCTTTTCATTTATT